CATATCCATCAAAATATTGAAACTTTTTATTAAACAGAAATATAAATTTACGTTTGAATAACAACAGTTGTGCATTTATGATATGCAATGTAGAATATTGCTGAAAAAATGCTATCGATATGTGAAAATTCAGTATTTTAACAAATATTCTGAATGAAATTTCATAACATGTTTGATAAAATAACTGAATTCTTATGTAAATACTTACACATTCTGGAAATTCTAGAGGTATGCATTAACTTATGAGATAAATATGTCCTAAGACTATTAAATGATAATTATTTCTACTTCTTTAATTTAAGAACTGCTTATAACTAATATTGATAGGCTTGCTGGAGTACAACAGTCGATCCCAGCTACTTACCGATAGAAAGGAAATTTCCTATATCCGATAACGTTTCCAGGATACACAAATACCACAGAACATTAAACATAGTGCACTATATAAAGACACTAATATCACGCAAAGTTAAGAATTAGAATAACTTTGCAATTTATGTTTAAAAGAGAAAAAATATAGCCATATACCATGAAAGAAAAACATGTTTTGTTTTGAACTGACACACCTAACATAGGTACTATATTAGAACTCTGATGCAGGAGAATGAATAAGACATATAAATGATGTGTGTCGGGTTTATTAAGCGGTGCTTACTTAAATAAATTATACTGCGAACAGAACAAAATTATAGTAGCTTTTACAGAAGGTTATATGGTTGTTTGTAATCTGCAGGAATTGTATAATATATGCATTATAAACCGTTCTCACGCGCATCGTCAGTTTTTAACAACCAAGCGTTGTTAGCCAAATGACCATCCATTGGTTTCTGATTAATCTTTCCAGTTTTATAAATCTTTTATTATTTCGAATCACGTTAAGGCTAAATCGTAACCTTCGAAACTAAAATATAAAGGGTAGTGTTAACTTACCAAGCTACAAGTATGCGATATAAACCTCTCAGCAAATTCTACGGTGAATATTTCTGATTTCTTAATTTTATTTTCGACAAAATCTTTCGGTAGCCATATCGAAAGAGAAATATTCAACTGCAGATCTGACCTGTGTGATCTGACCAGATGTGACCTGTATGGTCACAGTTGATAATTTGTTGACCGTAGGAAATGTTCTTATCGATGTTTCGTTTCAGGGTCATAAAAACAAAAATATATTTAGAATTACGTAAGTAAATCAAATTTGAAGAACATGTGACACGTGATCATAGAAGGTCAAAAAGTAAACTCAAATATCAATTTACACATCATAACTTTATCTTTTACATTTTACAATTTTAAAACGTTAAAGTTTTACTATATTATTTTTATAAATAGTCGATTGAAGAAGGACAAATTCAATTAGTTTGTAAAAATTTATTCACTGACTTATATATATATATATAAATAACAATGTTGCAAAAGCAGGATACGTGTACACGCTTTATTAAAGACTGTCTATAGAGGGAGGAAGTATAGATAATAAAACTTAAAAGAACAAAATAAAATAAAAATTATAATATAACAGGTTAAATATGTACAAAATATGTTGAAAAAATTATTTCAATGTTTCAACCAACATCAAATAAAATATTGCTGATATAACCCGTAAACATAAACAGTCGACGATCTTACCTTCAGTGGCAATGTTCTAGTCACTAGAGCCTCGTAACGCCTCACGCAGTTTCAGCGATAGATACGCTTTAAATAATAATAATTTCTTTTCAGGGATGTTATGGGAAGTGATCTTTGCATGTATAATGATCGAATTGAATGAAGTATAATGATTAATATAAGGCAAGGGCCCGTTAGGATAGCCTTACTGATACGTCCACTAACGGGTTCCGCATGAAACGTCTTCCTTTCCTTTTCTCCCTACACCGTCACGTTCAGCAACCGCCAAAGTGGAAATTCAAAAAATGCTGAACTAGGTAGAACTCAAAAGATATCCTTCGTCAATTATGGAAAACCTACACGATTCAATATATTCCGTTGGACATACATTTTTTTATAAATTATAAACAATGCTTCTCAGTCCAAGATATATTCACAGTATAAGCAAATATTATTTAATTGAAAAAAATAAATCGGGAAGATAACATGAAGCACATACATAGGTTCTTCAGAGTATCGATACAAAGAGCAAGCATGTTTTTTTAGGAAAAATAGAATTTATAAAATGTTGATCTTTAAATGCTGTTTCTAATCACAATTACTAATACATTTTATTAATTTTATCGTTTTCTAAAGGGACGTGCATTTAGGAAGCAAGATACATACGATAAACTTCGATATGGGCAAATGATTTTTTTATCAAAGGACATGTGTGCCAGCATGGATATGGTCCTTCCATTTTTCTTGGCGACCATTATGATGAATAAACTTAGAAGGGAGGTATTTCCTGTATAGAAAATTAGAGGGCTTGGGTTTTCCGAGATATTTAAAATTGTCAAATGTGAGAATCGTTAAAATGGCTCGTCCGAATGCGGTGCTAGAGAAAATATTGCATGTATATGTAATATGTATACAGAGTTCGTCCGTCCTTCCGCATCCCACGTCTAAGGCAAGGGCCCGGTAGGGATAGCCTTACTGATAGCAGGTCCCGGACGAAACGTCTCCCTCTCCTTTATTCCCAAACACAGTCACGTTAGCCACCACCAAATATTTCAATAAATATTTCATGTTCTTAAACTTGCAACAGCGGGCTATCTCAAGTATTACATCTCAAGAATAACTATTACAGAAAGGAAATAATTAGAAAACTGTAGAGAAAAAATGTACATATTTTTATCTTCAATCAAAATAAGTTTTTCAAAACATATATATCAATTTAAATAATTCATAATTTTCATCTAATATCTATTATATATTTATTTAATAATATTTCCATTAGATGAACGTTTGAAATAGTATTCTCACATTAATATGTTCGTCAATAAAATAATTAAAATACATATTGCAAATACATGTAAAATTAAATAAATATTTCAAATGATGTTCCTATTAATTTTTTAAGTTAAACAATGTAAAACAGTTCAGAAAAATAATATCTGGAAATATTTCTATTTTTCGTTTCAATTAATATTTTATCTAGCACCGCATTTGAACGAGCCATTTTAACGATTCTCACATTTCACAACATTAAATATCTCGGAAAATCCAAGCTATCTAATTTTCTATACAGAAAATGTATTTTAAGTTTATCATCGCTTTAGAAAACGATAAAATTAATAAAATGTATTTGTAATTGTGATTAGAAACAGCATTTAAAGATCAACATTTTATAAATTCTATTTTTCCTAAAAAAGCATGCTTGCTCTTTGTATCGATACTCTGAAGAACCTATGTATGTACTTCATGTTATCTTCCCGATTTATTTTTTTTAATTAAATAATATTTGCTTATACTGTGAATATATCTTAGACTGAGAAGCATTGTTTATAATTTATAAAAAAATGTATGTTCAACGAAATATATTGAATCGTGTAAGTTTTCCATAATTGACGAAGGATATCTTTTGAGTTCTACCTAGTTCAGCATTTTTTAAATTTCCATTTTGGCAGTTGCTGAACGTGACGGTGTTAGGGAGAAAAAGAAAGGAAGATGTTTCGTCCCCGGGACTCGTTATGGGACTTATCAGTAAGGTCCCTTGCCTTATATTAATCATTATACTTCATTCAATTCAATCATTATACATACAAAGATCACTTCCCATTACATCGCTGAAAAAAATTATTATTTTTGAAAGCGTATCTATCGCTGAAACTGCGTGAGGCGTTACGAGGCTCTAGTGACTAGAACATTGCCACT